ATTGTTTAAAAACATTTCATATGATTCAATAACTCAAAGAAAAAAGTGACAAAAAAGGTTATTGATTTTAGAAAAAATGTGACAAGACAAATGTGATATTTTCAATCTTTAAGTCGTTCATAACTCCTGGATGGAGATGATCAGGAACAGCAACATGTCACCAGTAAACACAGAAGCAAACAAGATGCACTAAATACCCCCACGATAATTTCTGAATTTTGAGGCTGCGCTTATGTCAGTCCATTTTGCAAGCAGTCCTAAAAAAATTTAAATAATTACTATCTTTAGGTATTATATAATCAGCAAAATGAATTTGAATTCGTAATACGAAAATCTTCTTACATCAAAATCTTTTGTCTGTTGATTAACCTTTTTTTTAATTTCAATTAAAGAACTTTATTCGGTAATAACCAATATTTGCCCCCCAAATCAAACTTTGATAAAGTTATATTTAATTAAGTTCTTAAACATGGGAGTATATGCTGACTTCAAAGCACTGAATATTTTCATAAGTAATGACGTCATATGTACGTAATGACGTCACAAACATGACGTAAATTTCATTTTTTTAATGAATTTTACAGAAAAATGTACATAGTTCGTCGATATTTTGAGTAAAAGTCACCGAGCACATGTGTGTTCAGGATCAATATTTTGATATAATGTGTATAATGATAATATCAATGAAATATGTCAATATTGTTCCTGAACAAACCTGCGCTCTATAGATTTTAAAGCTAAAATTGTTGAAATTTTGTCCATTTTGTCCTCTTTCTGAGAAAAAGGATATAAAATCGGACTAGTTTGTGACGTCATAAAAACAAAAATTGTGAATACACTGCTTTAAAACTATAATATTTTCTGTTAATTCATATCTCTCATACAATTTATTGAATTCAGCACATTTCAGGAAGTTTTCAAAATTTGACTTTTGTGGGGGCAAATATATGCAATATACCGCATATAGTTCTTTATGTAACATTATCTGTGACTAATGTTGCAATTCATTGTCATGGAAAACATTATACATTTTGTTGATTGGGTTCAAGGGCAACATGCTTGTTGTCGGCCTTAAGAATTAAATACATTTGTTCGCGGGGTCGATAAAACGCATTTAACTGGAGAAAATTTAATTTATTTATTTTTGGCATGCGCGTATGTCGAACATCAACGAATATAAATGAATTTAGTTGGAACCGCCCATTGTGTGTCGTCAACAGTCCAGCATCTCATTGAAAGGTCCAATATCTCATCCGCGGTCAAATATCGCCGCTCAGCACTACATTGGAAATATTAGACTTTTTATCAGCATTGATTTAAATAGGAATACATTTTAAAGGTAAAACAATATGCAACCATTGCTTTTTTTTTAGGTCAGTAGGATAATGATGAAGCTATGCAAGGAGCACAATATTGACCGAGCCTGAGGGGTTCGAGGAGATGTACATAATTTACTATTTTATGATAATTGCAAAACTGCATATCAGCCAAAAATTTATTAAATTTATATTTTTTATTTATTTCTTTGTTACTTCCCCCTGAAAATAGTACATTTATTCTATATTCATAATAAGTTTATTTAAAAGTATCGATGGAATAAAATTCTGAATATTTTTAAACTTATGATAATAATTATATTATCGTCAGTAAATAGACATGCTTGAAATTTATCAAATAATTTATCTTTATTAATTCAGGCGCGAGAAATGAAACCTTGCCTTCACATCCGGCGTAATGAGCGGACTCGTCGAATTGATCTCGACAATTGAAGTCTTGATCACAATTTAGCCTTTTGTCAATACAGATATATTCAAGAAACTCATTCTAGGAGCAGATCTTGGTCTCTGACTCTACAATATGTTGAATCAAATAAAAATCATTAAAAGAATGTCTTATGGCTTCCATTTATGCTTTGCATTAGAATACAAATCAAGTCAAATACATGAACCCTTAATTTTTAAATGAGTAAAAAGACTGTTCTGGACTGTTGTGACTAAGTAAAAGCCAGTGCTGATCGTAATTACCATGCTCTCTTATTTAAATGTTGCCTGGTTTCCTGCAGTGCTATATATAGACTTAGTCCACCCAAACCTTTATTTGTCAAGTACTTTCAACTAGGACTCGTAGAAAATTGATTATTGATATGTTTTTTTTATTTGATGTACATGTATGTATATCTTTACAACATATTTTTTTTTATTTTGTAGAGAATTCAAGAGTTAAGCCACATATATAATTTCTTTTGAATTATAAACTCTTGGGCAAGGATGGGACAAAACTTATTTTAAAATTATGCATAATAAATGCATGACTAAAAAGCAAAATTTTGTAAAAGACCAATTTCAAGAAGGGTTAAGCTGTGTTATAGGTAGTAATATTGTTCTTTTCCGTATGGATACAGGTTTAGTTAAGACATCTCTCTTTGAGACTATTACTGGGCCACATAATTAAAGGTAATATCTGTGCACTGTGTGCAGTGTGATTAATGTGTTAAATGTGTACACATCACACTGAGCACAGACTGGCAATTCTGGCGAGTTGGTTTTGCTTTCTCACATTTCTACTCTGATTTTTTAAATTATAGTTTTAATAATGTTAATTAATACACAACAAAATTTTTACTTTTCTTTAGTATTAAAGACAAAGATTACTTTGTGAAAGAGCAAGGGTGTGTCATTTAAACGCGTCCCGAACATCGCACGTTCAATATTTTCTTATAAAATAAGTCGTTTTATTATTCACGTATTTCCGTGTGAACTTTTATATAGCAACATACTTTAAAGTCACGATATATGAAACATTTAAGAAAGTGTTTACTGTAAATCTGTGTTGAAGCCCCTTTACAAAGTTCCACAATGTAAAAAGCAAACTTTTTTATTAAAGCCGTCGTTCCTGAATTTCATTTGTACATAATCAGGAGAAACATTTGAAATTAAAACTGACAAGACCAATATAGTTGAAAATATTCATATAAAATCTATAAGGTCTAACTGATTTCCTATACCTTGACTCGTGATATCATATCAGTGTATAAAAATTACTTTGTGTACTATATGATTTACTTATTTATTTTATAGGTAGAATGCAAGTCTCGTTGCCCATAAATTGTATCAATATAAGGTTATTATTTTCTTTTTATCTCAATTATGCTTAGAATCAGAAACAAATATACCACTATTATATTTTAATATTAATAATATATGAGTTAGTCTTTATATTTTTAAAAATCAGTCCATAATTATGGTATACTATGTTTTAATTTTATCACATGGTGCGACTACATGAAAAATACAAAATGTGTTGGAAACTTCCGCAATGTATCAGGATATTTTCCGGATAAAGCACCGAGTGTCATCATTGACTGTTTAGTCACTGTGTATATCCATATTTTAAATATTATGTACCTTCGTTCATATTTTATCATTAAATGTAATGGACTTACACACTTCTTAATTTTGCTCTGCTCAACCAGTTCATCAATTGGATTAATTGGGGAACATGTATGTCTAAGGTAATCATTCTGAAATATTGTTCATTACAAAAGCAAAGCAAAACAACATTTCATTTTAATATTAATTATTTTTCTGTCGTTTGTTTTAGTAAAAAGAATGAAGAATCCTGTTGTACAGACTACGAAGAAAGAAATAATATGTGTGTTGGTAAGTTGAGGCTTTTTAATAAAATAAACTCTTTTATAGGTACATGAATACATATTTCATTTATTATAGATATTGTCCTAAATGTTTTTTAGATAAATACTTTCAATTAAAGATTTCATACCTTTATATACATTGTTATTGCATTACTTATCCATGTTGACATAAAGAGTGCAGACCTGGATTCAGAGGGGATAACTGCAGTTTGAGATGTCCAGAAAATCATTATGATCAGCAATGTAAAATACAGTGCCAGTGTAAAGTATCTGAGTACTGTCATTATGTATGTGGCTGTGTGTCAACGCTCATCGAAGCTTTTAACGACACACAAATGATGGACAATGTCACCAACATGTAACATAACGTTAACATCACAGATATTACGCAGACCCTTTCAGTGGAATCATGTTTATCTTCAACAAAAAAATCCATCGAAACAACAGTCAACAACGTTGGAAAAACAGCTGGTAGTGTATGTTATCATTCTATATATAGCAAATTTTTTTTAAAAAATCAATGTATTTTTTCAGAAACAAAATTAGTCTACAAATATTGGCGTTCATTAACTACATTATGTATCAATTTTGTGAGTTTTCTTAAACAACATTTAAATCATATGTAGTAACATCTCAATTTCAAACTATTACGTCGTGATTGTGAGAATACCAAGAACATTGAGTAATGTCAAAATGACGATTTTCCTTAATGAATCATGACTTGAACGTTGTGTATCTTTTACAGTAGATGTCACTGAAATAAGGATTTACAGTACTGAAATAGACGATGGTAATTTATTTGAAATATTTTGATAATCTTATGTTTAAAAGAAATAAAACATCCTCTTAATTGCTTATATTAAACAATAAAGAGATATACGTGTATAATAATAACCCATATTCAAGCAACGTCAAGGAATATGGGATTTTATCTCAGTGATACATGTGCATTGCCCATTTTAGATTGAGTATGTGCTTCGCGGAATAATCCGGGTTGTGCATACCAGTTTTTTTTGTTAGAAATGCCACAGTGACTATATATACTTGGTACGTGACGTAATTTCCTCCTTTCTAAGTTAGCAGACGAGCACATGGTAGGTTGGTTCAGGCGATACAATCATTTCAATTTTGGATCGATATTTTAAAAAACCCACCCTCCCACCACATTCTTATGCAGTTCACTGTTGAAAATTATATGTGACGCGCCAAGCAAAAACCTCCCTTAACGAAGTTTTGACATTTTCAGTTTTTTATTGATTCTTATAGAGTTTTTCTTTCTCTTTCATTTGATGTATAACATGACATATATTTCTTTATATAAATATATAAAAGATCGCATGACAAAGACGGAATATTTACTTTGACGTACAGTGTAGGCTTGCGTAACTGCATGAATTTTCATAACGTAAAATCGTAAAATGACGTAAAGCTATATAATAATTAAGTTAATGATACTTATTATTAAACTTTTTATTTGATTTCCTTAAAAGTATCAACAATTAAGATTTTTTCATTGTAATAATAGAAAATAAACATTCTAAAGTATATCTTTGAGAAACAAAAGACGGGGGAGGGGGGGTGATGGACCGAAATGATCGTCAAGGGAAAAAAACAAAACTCATGACAAAATCAAAAATCTTCTCTTCCGCTGGCAGGTCTTCCAATTCATGGCTTTTTAATGCAGTTAGTGACAGAAATCTACATCACTGCAATAGTAAAAGAAAATAAGCAACATTTGGATTTAAAAAATCCTATTGTGGTAGTACAGACGACACACGTACGGCTTCCTACTAGCTTAGGCTAGTGGGATAACCTAAAGCTTATTCGGTAAAGCACAGAGGCCTCGGGTTCGTTCCCAATTAAGGATGACGTTTACTCAGGTTTCGGAAATCAGAAAGGAAATTTTATAAAGTATAATATATTAAATCAAAAACTGTTTTAAATGGATAAAATTACTAAGTTTTAACACAATATCAATTTTAAAATTTCATATCTTATTATTTGAAGAAAATATACAGGAACAAAAGTCAATATATGGTAATGCAGAGGAAATTCGGACTAAATTTTTTAATTTTTCATTTTTGTCAAAATCTTTTATTTCTTGCATCATTTATCAAATGTAAAGGTTATACGTTTTTTCAGACATCATTTTGCATATTTTATTTGCCTTAAAGCTAATAAATTATTTTTAATAAATAAATGCTATCAAATAAAGAAATTCAGAAATATGAACAAAAGCATTTCAGGCAACATATCTCAATAATTTGATCATTGACTCCATATAATGTTGTGTCATGGTGCGGTACTTTTTCTTTTGATGTTGGCCATACTTTAAATCAGATAGAAAACCTTTGGCTGAATTCCAACGTACTATAACTTCTAGGGGGCGGAGCTTAGCCATACAATAACTTCCAATTTACCGTACAATAACTTCCGACAGAATTCGATGGTTTTTAAATATTTTTTTTTTCAATTTCTGTAAGATTATACACAATATCTAGAGGAAACATGAGAAATCTCACAGAATCTACCCCCCCTTCACTCTACAAATGCATACGTAACAGGGATGGGGTACTAGTAATTGAACAAAAAAGTAATTGTACTTGACTGTAATTAATTAATTACAGTTTTGTAAAGTAATTATAAAGCAATTAATTACCTGATTTATAAAGCCTAGCTGTAATTTAATTGTAGAGAAAGTCAAAGTAATTGTAATTTGATTAATTACTTTTTAATGTAATCGACTCCATCCCTGAATTACGTGAAAACCATTTTCATGAGAAATACATGTAAACTCATTAGTTAACTGCTTTAAACAAAGAAATAAAAACAATACACAGATTTTCATTAAAACACGTACATTCAAATGAAAATAAGATAATTTAAATCTGACAATATTGAAAACACGCGCAGTTCGATGATTTTCTTAAAAAGTACCTGACTCCTGGGTTCCTTGAGTTACATGCACACTGACACATGTTCGTATAATATACAAGTATGCATTCGGACTTTTTCACAATGCATTCCATAATTTTGACACCAGTGGCTACCGTACTTCATTCGGATTTCCTCCGGACATGCAACTATATCCGTAGTAACAGTAATGAAGCGGATCATTTTGCGGACGGATCCAGGTTTCCAGTACCTTATGGTTTTTTGAAATATTCACACTGCTTAAATCAATTGCACACTCTTTTAACATCGCTTGACTTTCCAATGCAACCATCTCCTTAATTCGTACTTTCTGATTTGTTTGAACCGTCTACGATGGACCTAGGCCAGTGACGTAATGTCGCGTGCAGTTTGATGTCGAGGGAGTGGCTATGCAAATGACCATGACACAAGACATTTACAGACACTTTCTTTCGTTTGTAAGGAATTTATTATACAGAGAGGCGTGGCTGTCTCGTCTCTGCGCGACTCGACTGCCACGCCTCTCTGTACAATAAATTCCTTACAAACGAAAGAAAGTACTGTAAATATAACTTAATACCATGAGAATTACGGCAACTAAGGTAATATGAGGTTATAAATAATTTAGAGTTCTTATCAGTCAGATTTATTAAATATTCGATTAAAAATGGGGAAAAATATAAATATGACAGAGGAAATTCGGACTGTAATAATTATCTTATTTATGGCACAAACTCTGCTCATTTCTTTATATGGAGCAACTCTGGTCCATTCCTTTAATATTTCATAATTTAAAGACTTTTGTTGCTTATAATATTTACTGAGTGAAGAAAAAAATGGTCATATTGTGAAAAATTGAGGTATTTCCCAAGAAAAACTCAAGGGCCCCTAGCATGAAAACGAGGTCATTGACCTAGTTATTTGAAATTAAAATTTAACACAAGAATCATAGGTGTACAATGTGCAATAGGTGGTTTTTCGTTCTTATCAGTGGAATTTTTAGTCTTCTGAGTAAAGGTATACCTTAAGCAGAGGCACGTAATTTTCTCTGTTACACTATCAAAGTATTGTCTTAAAAAAAGATCGAGACAGCCCTTAACCCCCCCCCCCCTACCTACCCCCCCCCCCACCCCCACCCCGGGAATTAAAAGTCTATACAATACAGAAAAGATAGAAAGTATTGTCACAGTATCTGAAATTTTAAAGAGTGCGACAGGTTGTTTTTCTATCTAAAGGAAAAATAACATTTCTTTTACCACAAAATAACTATTTACATGTTTTAGTTTCGAATGTTTTAATACTGAAGACTTTTTGGCTTATTGAAAAGATATTCTGCACCCAAGAATAAATTGTACTTGTCTCTTGTAGTAGAGTTTGGTCCTTTTCTTCTTCGGGTGTCGTTATGAAATCAGTCTTTCATTCACAAGAAGAACTTAAAAAGTTGTCAAACTTGTTTCCAATGCGTATGTATAATTCAATAAATGCATATTTAAATCAAATCAATAAAGATTAGGTGCATCAAAGTTTAAAGTGGCCAATCATTATTTCTTAGTAATTTTTTAACATTTGATTCATTTTTCCTGGCCTTCCGTTTCCTATTTTATATTCATGTTTAAATTATGGAAAATAAATATATTTAGAATTATTTTCGCAACTAAATGCATCTGCATACTTTTCGGTGAATCAGAATGTAACACCAATCCCCACCTAATAAAATATATGTATTTTTAAATCTTGTTAAATAAAAAAAAATCTGCAATTTATATGTATGAAGTTAATCATGAATTAATTTTGAACCGATCATTGTATATAAGTCGAATAACAAACCACAATACGAGAATATATATGATTCCCACAAGTGACACGTACACTCCACAACTTCATTTCTAGGAATAGAATGTAAGGCTTATACTAAGCTTCACTGTTACCTTCCTGAGAAAGTACATGCACACATTATGATTTATTTTAATCATATTAAATGCTAGTTGCATTTTAGTATTGGTTAAAACATGCATTTTAAAAATAGCAACAGAAAGTAAGAGAACGGGTAAAACATTCTTATCGATCATCGTAAACTGGAGGGGGCATGTCTCAGCTATGGACATTCACGCTTAATTGATTACCTGAACTAAACAAGAACAAGGCACTCATGTACAATCTTAAGCTGTAACTTTTGTTATTTTTTTTTTAAATAATTAATTGTTGTAATTTATACATTTTTTATACACGAGAAGCTGTACATGTATGAATGGGTTAGTTGATCAAGCACGCAATATTCAAGTCGACCAACATGTATCTTTTTATGTTCGATAAATCCTTTATCTTAGAATATATAGCGATTTGATCATTGACTTAGTAAAATATACATTGTATTCAGATATTTATATCCCCCAACTTCCATATATCTTGAACAAATATAGGCATATTACCACGGATTAATATATTATGCATAGGCGTCGGAACCGGGAGAGGGGGGCTAGGAGGGGCTTCCCCCTCACCTTTTTTTCCCAAAGATAGACTTAGTATAGACATTTTGGACATTGCTGCTTGGGCTTAGCCCCCCCCCCCCCACTTTCCATAGACATGTTGCAGTATAGGTTTAAAATGGGGAAAGTGGTGGCGTTTGGAAAAAATTTTGGTACTGGAATTCGAACCTAACCCCCCTCCTCCCGTAATAGGATTTTCGTGTGTAACCAATGCACATTTCCTTTTTTTCTTGCTTGTCAGGTCTTTTTGAAGGTATAAAAATTTCTTATACCTAGCCCCCCCCCCCCCCCCCCACTTTCAATTTGCTTCCGACGCCAATGTTTTGTGCAGATTTGTACCGTACTAATTTTGAATTAAACTGCCCATACATGTACATGTTCAATGCAACTTTTGCAGGAAAAATTTATTGACATTGTTAAAGTTTATTACATGTATACATTTAATAAATTACGTGTAATTGGTAGCAAATTTTCATAATTTGAAACGCATATACATATTCATTTAATTGCGATTCAACAGAAGGAAACAGGCGCGGATCCAGGAATTCAAGTTAGAGGGGGCGCCAAAAGTAGGCAAGGGGTCTGGGGGCCGCCTTGAGGCCCCCAGTGGGTCCAGTGGTGGGGGACCAGGGGGCGAAGCCCCCGGAAGCTCCTGGGTTCTAGAGTTTTTGTAGGGTAAAAATGAGGTCTACCAAGTAGATATATTTACATTTTTTAGACGAAACTGTGATTTACGTTATCTTTCACAATTTAGGGGGGGGGGGGGCGCGCCGGGTGCGCCCCCCTTAAATCCGCCACTGCGGAAACAAGATTATTATTTTCCAAGGTAGATGTTAAATCATGAAATGTTGGTAGTAAAGTCTTTGTCGGGGAAATAATTACTACAGGTTAAATAATCCTTAATACTAAAGGTTAAAATAAAATCATTAAAAAGAAAGTCTTTAACCGCTAAAACGTTTAATGTATACTTTCATACTGCATTGATGTTTTAAGTAAAGAAGGCTGAATGAGCACCGGAGACAATACTACATGTACATGCAACAGCCTGATTCAGCGATTTTATAAATGACCGAAATTATGTTGTTTTCAGGAATCCAGAACTCCAGAATCTTCGTTAGTACATGTAGATAAACCATGCACAAAATAATAATAGGTGGGAATGTTTTGAAAGTGTTCAAACAAATTGTATGAATTTGTAACAATTTGTATGAATTATTTATACAGGGAAATGACAACAAAATGTTTGTTTTAACCTTTATTTTGGCGAACATTGGCCGTGGCATAGTAATTTGTGGGATGCCAATTAATACACACAACTTTTGGGCAAACCCACACAAATTCAACAAAATTCATCAACACAAACAAGTCATATGTGCAAAAAATGACCACCCCGGGTAAACCGCGGGTGGTTACTTATTTAAGGTTACTTATTTAAGTGTAATTAGTTATATGCACAATTCAAGCACAAAACAAATTATATCAACATATCAGCAAATATTTTACATATAAAATGGTTCAACATTTCAACCCCCTTCACAGTTCAATGGTGAAAACTTCACAACAATACAAAGTTTCTGTAGGCCTCAGTTGCTTTGGTGTGCGCAAACGCCATTCCTGTACAGGTTATGCCACGACATATTTCACGAAGACGACATCCAATGCAACAGATTCTGTAAAATACAAAGAAAAAGCCAGCACCAAGAACCAAATATGCAATCATTTAAACTCCAAATTATGGGAATGGGTGGGTGGGATATTTAAGGCAGATGCAAAATTTTTCTTACAAATATTATGAAAAAACTTGACAAAGAAATATTCAACCTACTCTGTATCCAGCAAGTTGATGAAAAGAATGTTGATCCCGAGCTTTCCGACTTATATATACCCAAGGCCGCAGGCCGATCCCGACCAAAAAATTAATACCTTTTCCCGTAAAATAAAGTCATCTGATTTTATATGCATAAAATAGATGATATTATTTATACAGGGAAATGACAACAAAATGTTTGTTTTAACCTTTATTTTGGCGAACATTGGCCGTGGCATAGTAATTTGTGGGATGCCAATTAATACACACAACTTTTGGGCAAACCCACACAAATTCAACAAAATTCATCAACACAAACAAGTCATATGTGCAAAAAATGACCACCCCGGGTAAACCGCGGGTGGTTACTTATTTAAGGTTACTTATTTAAGTGTAATTAGTTATATGCACAATTCAAGCACAAAACAAATTATATCAACATATCAGCAAATATTTTACATATAAAATGGTTCAACATTTCAACCCCCTTCACAGTTCAATGGTGAAAACTTCACAACAATACAAAGTTTCTGTAGGCCTCAGTTGCTTTGGTGTGCGCAAACGCCACATGACAGCGAACAACCGAAGGAGAGTTCGCAGTCATCCCACACATGGGGGAGCACCCAAGCAACTGACAAAAAGCCCCCACGGACCAATGTTCTTGATGTTTTGTTTAAGGATACACATTTCCTTGCTTTGACAGGAAAAATTCTATATTATATTATTTAGAAAGAGTTTATTTCCTAGGTCATTAAGGTGTACTCCATCTTGCAACAGAAATTGCGATATGTTTTTCAATAAATCAGGGTACTTTATGTAACAACCCCCCAACTCTAACACTAATGAAGCAGCTACCCTATTGGCCTTAAGACGGGAACGCTCCATTGCTTTATTGTCCCCCGAATACCTCCATTTATTTCGTGGCAGCATCTGTTACCAAACAAGTGTAGAATGTGGAAAGCGAGTCTTGATAATCTTTAGATGGGATTTAATTTTCTCAATGAGAGTATACAGATCAATTGATCCTAAATCGTTTGCCCCACAGTGAATAACCAAAAAGTCTGGGGATTCCTCATATTCTGTCAGAAAAAAGAGCTTTCTTTTAAGTCCCAAAAAATTCAAACCTGAATATCCCTGCCACCAGATATTTATTTTCAATCTATCCAATCCAAGATTTGTTCCCCCCGGTCTGCATACTGATGCCATCATTGCATTCTTAATAATAGAGGAGCCCACACACCAGACTTTAACTTCAGAGACCTCTACAAATGTATGCAATAATTTGAATAATTCTTGTTATATTTACAAAATTACAACTTATTTGCCCCCAAATCTGCCCAACAGGACATCTTATGTACGATTTGTATGCCCTAGACTTCCAACGCCCTGCTTCCATTATGACATCTTGTGAACACCCCGCTTCAAATGCTGCAGTGGCTGCCCCGATACGAAATGAATGGGCCCTATAATGCCCCTGAACCCCCAAAACCTGAAGTGATTTTTTCAAAACCGAAGAGAACTGATATCTGGTAAGGGGATTTTTTCCACAGTGGATAAATAAAGGCCCTTTAATTTTTGGTCTTACTGCAAGATAATCTATCAAACTTGCTACTGGACACAGGATTCCCCCACTTTTATCAATGGCTAAAGAAACCCCCTTTCTATCCTGATCACATTTTGACATTCTTATGTGTACAAAAACCTTGGAGTAATTAGCTTCAAATTGAACATCAGTCACTTGTAAAATTGTATGAACACTATTACCAGCAGACAATGTGAATTCCCCTATTCTGAGAAAACCAAAGAAGGCTAATATATAAGCAGCTCTGAACAATTTTGTTTCATAACTATTGCTACAAATGCTCGATAAAACCCTAACAACTTCAGTAAGCAACTGCAAGGTTATAGGTAGCCTTGCATCTGCAGACCTACCAGTTCTTCTCATACCCTCAAGAACCTTTACAACCAGAAAGTTCTTTGTTTCATCAACCCAATTGTGAATTTTGCATTGAAAACTAATAGAAGATAGATAAGATTTTGCCGTAGCATAGGAACACTTCTTAAGTGACAGATAAGCAACAAAGTGAACAACATCTCTAAGAGGTGGGGGCCATGAAATTTCGTACCCAAATTCTTTCCGGAAATTATAAAATGAATTTTGTCCTGTTTCGTATGCTGTCTTAGTGTTTTCAGAGATTGAAGCATCTAGCAATTTATTCATTTGAATCTGTAAATCATGTTGACTAATTCTACTGGAAGAGGGTCTGGTCTGGTGCTTGCCTCTGGTGCTAACGTCTTGAAGCGGAACCACTGTTTGCGAGAAATAGAATCTGCAATTTTGTTATCCAAGCTACTAATGTGATTTGGCCTAAATATAACATTATTGATCATCAGTCTAAGAACCAAATGTCTTACCAATTCCATCACTCTTTTGGACTTGGAAGATTGGGTATTGATGACACTAACTAATGAAAGGTTATCAACATGAAACTGAACTTTTTTATGTAACAACCTAGGTCCCCATATCTCTATTGCTAAAACTACTGGTATGAGCTCAAGAAAAGTCATGTCTCTCAAAATTTCTTGGTTGTTCCAATGTTTTGGCCATTGGAGAAAAAACCAACTTCCACTAAAGTAACCACCACAACCTAAATGACCTGAACCTGCACTATCTGTAAATAACTGTAAAATGCTAGAATCTTCCCACACAGTATTAGGAAAATATGCAACCCCATTGAAATGGTTCAAGAACACCAGCCACATTCTAAGGTCACTTTTAATTCCTACTGATAATCTTATATGATGATGTGGCTTGAAAACTCCACTAAATGCATCATACATTCTTCGAATAAAAGCTCTACTAGATCTGATTGCCTTTGAGAAAAAATTGAGCATTCCAACTAAAGACTGCATTTCTTGCAGTGTAACTTTTTCCCTATCTAAAAAATTTTCAATCAGACTCTTCAGGATTTCTAACTTAGCTTCTGGGATCTTAATTGTCATCTCTAGTGTATCAATTTCAAAACCTAGAAATATTAATTTTGTTGTTGGACCAGAAGTTTTCTCATGGGCTAGAGGTACCCCTAAATCCCCAGCTAAGTTACTAAAAGTAGACATTAGAATTTCACATTCATCACTACCAGACCTACCTGCAAAAAGGAAATCGTCTAAATAATGATCTAATGTATTCAATCCAGACTTGAACTGAGCAAGCCAGTGTAGAAAAGTTGCAAATGTTTCCCAAATTCTGCAACTAATGGAACAACCCATGGGAAGGCATTTATCTATGTAATATAATCCATCTACAGAGAAACCTAACAAGTCAAAATCCCCTGGATTTATCGGAACTAAACGAAAAGCACTTTTAATATCCATCTTACCTATCAATGCGCCCCTTCCCAAATTTGCAATCATATTGACTACACCATCAAATGATGCATACTGCACTGTACATAAATCTGGGTCTATAAAGTCGTTGATCCCCTGGGAACTAGGATAGGATAAATGGGTAATCATTCGCCACCCTCCATCAGATTTAGGGACAATACCAACTGGTGAAATATGGAGGTTAGAAATTGGAAGTTGATCAAAAGGACCCATGATTCGGCCAAGCTTTATTTCCTTACTTATCTTTTCCATCAACTCATCATGGTGTTCACTTGCAGACTTAAGATTTTTTGAAAACACATGACACCTTGGGCCTGTATAATTTATTTCAAAACCCTTTGAAAACCCATTTTTTATATAATTAGCAGCATATTTGTCTGGATATGGCTGCAAATATTCATTTAACTTTTCAACATTAATAGGGGAATTTCCTAGGGCCCATATACCTTTGTGGTCTTGGGGTTTGGGTTGGGTGTGACAAAAGGGGTCTAACTTGAGGCTGTCCCTGCAGTGGTCCCCTTGGGTAACTTGTGGACTTCCCAACATAATTAGATTGAGGGCACAAATATTGTGGATGACTCCCAGAACATTTAATGCACTTGTGCATGTACTGGCAAGAAGGTCTGTCACAATGACCCTTGAAGTTGAAATTAAAGCACTTGTTGTAGGCTGGGCTGTTCGGTTTAATTGTTAGTTTAGATTGTGGGGATGATGACATAAACATCAACCATAACTCATAGTCTACTTTAGACCAATCTATGGTGGGATCGATACTGCGGCGAAGTCGAAACTGCTCGTCATATTTTTTCCATCCCAAATCCCCCTCCCCACATCTTGATGCCCCGAGTCTTATGTCATGTAAATATTTCAGCAAACCCTGGTAAGATTCTGGGTGGGCTGAAGCATAAATGCTAGAGTAAACTAAGAATGCATCTGTCCATTTACTGATATTTTGAATCTTATTGCTAGGTTTAACAACCTCTCTTGTGACCAACTCCCCTTTTTCATTAAAAAATATTTTTTTCTCTGAAGATTCTGTCAGGGAAGTGTTATCAAGCAACAAACTAATCTCTATGTATGCTGAACTAATGATTTTAGACTTCAATGAGTTAGAGACATTGCTAGCCAATAGTGAATGAATGCTATCTACATATTGATTCTCATAACCAATGCTTGTACCTGATTGAGATTCAATGGCCAAAGCAGGCACAGGTGCTGGGGCCAGTGGGGTAGAGTTTGACTTTCTGGCACCAACTACATTCTCTTGGGCGGCGATGCTTCCTGAAGGACCTGGTTCCTGAACTGTATGATTATCGTCAACCTCTATCGCTACCGCTGGTCGCTCTTGTCTTGACCTCTTTGACCTTGATGCTTTGCCCTCGTTGTCTCTCAGTCTGCAATTCCGCTTAGTCTTATTTTTGGGAGGCATTTCCGCTCGTTATAGTAAATAACAAACAAAAATTACTAATTGTAATTCACCAGATACAAATTTTTTGATAAATTTGCTACGGGCAAAAATTTGCAACAATATATTCAAAATGGCTGTCGTGTCACATTTAATCGGGCTGTAAATCCAGCACAATCCAGAGAAAATATATACGTTGGATTAAAAAAGTATTAAGAACATACAAACTTTATTATCCATTAACCAAAATTTAAATATATTTAAGGCAGATGCAAAATTTTTCTTACAAATATTATGAAAAAACTTGACAAAGAAATATTCAACCTACTCTGTATCCAGCAAGTTGATGAAAAGAATGTTGATCCCGAGCTTTCCGACTTATATATACCCAAGGCCGCAGGCCGATCCCGACCAAAAAATTAATACCTTTTCCCGTAAAATAAAGTCATCTGATTTTATATGCATAAAATAGATGATATTATAACATTTTAGAGATGTATCATGTTTGCCATTTTTACATTCGGTGTATTGAGTATAACCTCATCAAACAGATTATGAAAAGGTCGATAAACATATGTTCAATCTGTTTAATTCTCAATCATGAAATATTTTAGATAGTGGGACTGTAACTTACAATGTATGCGAGCATCCGTAAATTCAAGACAAAATTTGCACGAAGTATCGAAAGAAATAGAGCAGACACGCGACACAGGAGAAAGGGGGGGGGGCGAATTTTTCTACATTTTTTGTACAACATGAGAAGGTGTTCAACAATAAAATAGATTGAGAAGCTCAAAAGGTCTTTCTTCAAAATATTCATTTTAAATCGACAGCTAAAACTAATTCCGGAAGAAGCGACCAAATAAAAACTCTTTGTCGTATCTATAGAGAATACCTTTTTTAAAAAGTAAACTTAAAGCTGACATGAACTCTTAAAAAGCCATCATTTTTCATCTTTGTACGACTTACTACATTCCTGTATGTCTTTGTCCGCCATATCTCTTCGATTCCGCCATATTTAATTGAAAATTTTTGGTCACCTGTACCTGCTATATATAGCCTTGTACGATTGCTTCACTTGAGTGATTTTCTAGCCTGACTGTCGACATGTACACATCTCTGATAGCATAGTTTTTAGAAGTCCATAAACTGACCAAATACATGTTTGAAAAGTAAAAATTCAACAAAAAATAGAACTATACCGAGAATTAAATTATTTTTTGAATGCATTTGCTGCAATATAGAAAATAAACTAACACGGAATACATACATGTACACCAAACACCCATGCAGGTCGAGAAAACGCGTCAAACGCAGTGATAAAAACATTTACCTGACTACTGCTATCGTTACAGGGATGTGCACATGTCGAAAGAATTATCCTATTTTACTTTTATTGAAAAATGCATCTCAGAAGTCATGTAATCCATTGCTAACTCAACAGTAAAAGATGCTTGGACACACGTGGCCCATGTCGATCACTTTATTTGGTCAGGGAAAATATCAAAGGTTGAAAGCTCAGTGGGGCTGATTGAAAAAAAAAATGCAAGTAATTTTTTCAAAAATAAACATTACTCTTGTCTGTACATGTTGTAAATAAAATTTACGATTAAGTACATGCTTTAACTTCATCAAATTCATAAAAAAAGCAGGCATTATTACGAATCATTCACCTTTTGAATATATTTTCCCGTGATATGAGGGGGGGGGGGGGTTGTAATAAAACATGCATTACACTCTCATAAAAATAATGTTAGAAAAACGTCTGAAACAGATTGGATTTCTTTATGATCAATTATTATCAAATAAATACTGTATATTGGCTATATTAGACCTAATATAATTTGATTTAAAGTTATTTATATTTTTATGCACTATGAAAGAAAAAGTGAGCACGTTCACATACCCCACGCTCCCCCCAAAGTCGGAGTGCTGAAATTCCCAGAAAAAATAAAGGAATCGTAATTTCCTTGTAATATGCACATCTATACACATTGTGTCCTAAATATCTGCAAAGTTTGACGAAATTGTGTGCAGCGGTTTATGAGGAGTTGCGCTGACAAACTGCTCACCTCTATATTCAAGATATGGCCAAAATCTAAATGTAAAAGTGCGGAAATTCCCGAAAAATAAAGAATTCGGAATTTTCTGGTGATGTGCTAATCTACACACATATTGTCTCCTATAGATATATGCAAAGTTCGACAAAACTCTGTACAGTGGTTTATGAGAAGTTACGCTGACCCCCTCCCCCCCCCCCAAAAAAAAAGACTGACTGATGGGTCAAAAACATTATACCTCACGCGTGGGGTATAGTAAACGAGTTTGATTCTTTGGTACAATGATGATGAAAATAGAATTTAATGTGAATTAAATTTCTAGACATAAATAATTAATGATTATTAGAAAAAGCATATAGGAAGAGAGAGTAAACTCCTCGTGAGAATTCCACATTCTACCTAAAATTAGCTTTTTAAAAATTCTCTTGTCTGTTGTCCAAGTTCGACACATACGTTTGAGAAGGTATTCGAGAAAGTTCCGTATGTTCCCATTCCTGTGATGTATATTTCACGTTTATTATATCCCCCGCCTGAAAAGTGGGAGGTTATATAGTAATCGTTATGTCCGTTCGTCTGTCTGTTACGCTTTGGGGTACCCATCTCTTATCCGCAAATCCTCTTATACCACTTAGAGAAATTTAATGATACTTTCAAAGAATCTTAAGTTTATTACACATTACCATTATGCACCTCCTATTTTACTTTTTGATCTGACACGTATGGGTTTAGCGAAATATGGACTTTGCCATTATAACCATATGAGAGGCAGGGGGTATCATTTAGTGAGCTCAGTGCTCATAATACATGTACGTCTAGTTTCTCTTTCAATTTGGGCGTTTGGGTTAATTTCCTGTCCAAAGCAAAATTATTATTCAATTTATGAAGTTTCAACATCCCGCCTGAAAAAATCCTTGATCTATCCTAAGGCATAATAAATGGAACAGCACAAAGTGCGTAGGATTTTATACCTATCATTGCCCCAACGGGTGGTTACGGAGAGAGAGAGAGAGAGAGAGAGAGAGAGAGAGAGAGAGAGAGAGAGAGTTCAATATGCAAAAGAATAAATAATAATTATCCGTATTCAACCAGTGTCAAGTATCCCTACCCTAGCTTTTAAAATTTTCTCCCAAATTCACCTACAGAAATTATTTAAATGTATAAAAAAAATACCTAGACTATCAGGCAGGGATACTGAAATCTCGAAATACTTCCTGTAACAACATAATTATAAAACAGTTACATTCCTCTAAATGCACATACTTTGTGGTCGGAGTGACACATTTTAAAAAAATCTCAAAACTGAATTCGGCAGAAATGTCTGTCTTCCAAGAATATTTAAATAACGGTCATGTCAATTATTTTTGTATGCCCCCCTCCGTCCAAAAAATCAAATGCCTAAATGTCAATCTGAACAGGGGATGGCCTTTCTCCGTGTGTGTATGTGTTAAAGAATGTATAGATGTACACATAAAAATTTGTATTCTGGTTAATTGCTTTTAAGATTTGAAGTAAATTATTGCCGTACATCAAATTACTTGGTTTAGATTTGAGATTAGTACTAAAATAATCAGTTATAATTGACAAATGAATTTTGTGACGCAAACCAACTGCAGACTATATACATGACTTTGTATAGAATGTATATTAGAACTACATGTAGATAAATAATTCAAATTATAGCTTATGAACATCAGTTATAATACCCCCCCCCCTTTCAGCTGCGCAAATACCAAATAACCTCTTTCCACTTTTGATATTTTCCCTGACCAAAATCTGATCAGCACGGACTAAGTGTATCGTCGTGCTAGTGTGTACGGAGTAATGACAGTCTGTTTACCTGTTTACTATTGAGTTTTTATGGAGTTTATTTCTTTTTTGTGGTGCATATTTCAATAAATGGAATTCAGGGTGTATTTCTCTTGACTTGTGCACATCTTCGAACCGATGCAGTAACCTTATTACCAGGTATGGATACGTTTACAGTGTTCGAGGCGTTTTCTCGTTATGCATCAATTGCATAGGACCTGCAAATCAAAGACGTTGGTTGTTTTGTTCCCTATAAATGATATAATTTCAAAATGTGTGTACCTTGCAAATTTTACTGCTTTTTATTTCAAGTTTATTCTGCATAAATTGGCGCACTGTAAAAATACGTACTCATGCATCTAAATTTCTCTTCCAAACTTGCATTTTTTTCTTTTGATTCAAATCAATAATCATTCAAAAATATGATTATTATGTTGTTTATTTTGTTTTTGAAATGTCTTGATCACCTCATGTGTTCTCATATGCTTTACCATCGGAGATGTGCACAAGTCGATACCCAATCCAAAAAATCATTCAAGTGTAACGAGCGCATTGGGGTATACATCGTTACAATGAGACAAGGTATCTGAAAGAAATATGGCGGAATACGGTTATAGTTGGTATGAAACAAGTCGTACATAGATGAAAATGTTGCGTTTTTAAGAATTCATGTCAGCTTTAACTATTTATCGATAACAGTTCACGTTTTATTTATGTAAACGGTAGCGTTAACTGTCCCAACCCAGTTTATACCGTATAAATTGGATAGCTGTTAAAGTAATATACGCCGTATGGATGCTGATTTGTATGTGAAACAAAATGATTAAAGGATTTGAAACACATAAAGTGTAATGAAAAAATAATATTTCCACAAAATTTAACATTAAAACTCGTTGTAATAACAGAACAATAAAGCAATATCTGCAATCAAGAATTCAGTCTTTTCATGAATATTGATAAAGGAAGTGCGTAAACAGTAGGTCTAAATATAGACACGTATGTCCACAGGAAATTATAGACAACGAAGCACGTTGCATTTTGACAACGATTATTCATAAAAGGTTAATATGCGTCATAAGAGAGTATAGATGGTTGATACTGATTACATTTAAAGATAAGTTATATTAATAGTAACACGCCATCCATGTCAAAAGTGAGTTCTATCTCAAAGGGCTTACCTCGTTTTCTTGACGCCGTGTTTGTTTATCAATCTAAAAGTAGCGACGGCGTCACGTGGTGGATTTACTTAAAAATAGACATTATTCTCCTTGCAGGATAATAAATAATTATAATTTGATAACTTTATAACGAATTTTATTTAAATGGTGTAATTTACAGTATTTTCGTAACTTTTATTGGTAAACAAAATAAATAAATTTCCAGCCGTATTTTAAAATGGCGCACGTTATAGCGTATATTACTTTAAATTCATTCCACAAATAAAAGAGAAGTAATTCAGGTAAATTTTCATTGCATCGCTATTTAAATAAATATACCCTAGTTTAATGCTCCTGTTAAATTGCATGCATCACGATGAAACAGCTGGACATTAAATTTAAAAAACTATCTTTAAAAACTTGTTTGTTTGTCCTTTTAAAATGAACCGACTAAA